CTGGTTGCAGTAGGCAGTTCAGTTTCTGCAACCTGACAGTTGGAGATCTGAGAGGACTCCGGGCTGCTGCCTCTGACCCGCCACCCGAACCCTGCTGACATTCTGTGTACTCTCTATGCCTCATATCGGAACGGCTGCACACAGTCTTTATTGCTACACTTTAATCTCAACAGTGGTCGTCAACAAAGACCCTGGACAGGCAAAATTGCGACAAGAAATGAGCTGTTGGATAACCAACATGTGTGCCCGATCTCTGGCAGCCAGGCTGGTGGCTCCTCACTTGGGCCCTCAGGGAATGATGGGGGGGAGTGTCTCCTGACCATTTGTGGTGGCTTGAATGAGAATGTCTCCCATAGACTCCATGTTTTTGAGCATTTTGTCCCCAGCTGGTGACACTGTTTTGGGAGGTCTTAGAAGGTGTGGCCATGCTGAAGGAAGCATGTCACTGGGGTGGGCTATGAGAGTTCTTAAATCTTGCCAGATTTCCAGTTGCTTTCTCCTTCCTGTGCCTGCGTGATGATGTGAGAGCTTAGCTTCTGCTCCGCCTCCAGCCATCTCTGCCACTGTGAGTCCACACCATGATGGACTCTAATTCCCCTGGAACCATACGCTAAATAAACTCTTCCTTCTATAAGTTGTTATGGTCGGTGTTTCTATCACAGCAACAGAAAAGTAACTGATATGCCATTGCCCTGCCAGCCAGCTTGAATCACTGATGCCCTGGGTGACTGCATGCTGAACACTCAGGTAGCTCATGTGGAGCCTGGCCCTGACTTGAGCTGGTGGTAGAGGGGTAGAATAAGAGGAGATGTGAGCCTTCCTCGCTGTGGTATCTCAGTGGCTACCCAGCAGGAGCTGGATGAAGCTGGAGGTCCATTTGTAGACTACTAACCACCCTTAACCAAGCCTCAATGCCAACCTTGCTGCTTGGTTTGTTGACATATGGTGAGTAAAGAAACTTGTTTTAAACAACATTCAAATGACATTTTAAAATAAGAATAAAATAATTAAAAAGAGGCTCTCATCACAAATGTTTTCAAAAGCATTAACCGGCATCATCTTCAGACCTTGATGAAAAATGGAATCCCCTACCTCTTCTGCTTCTTTGTTCTGTCCCTCCCCCAGACTTATTCCAGTCCTGGACATTGCTTCCTTTTAAAGTGTTGTTGGCAAGGAATGTTAAGCTATTTGCGATTATGAATCGAGGCCAGAAGCATAGCTTATTACAATAGGACAGGATTAAATGAAAGTTTTCTTTCCTGTACATTGGCTTTCACTTAAGTCCCTAGTACAATTGGTTGGGGAAAGACCAGAACTAGTCAAGTAATTGCTGTGGCCGGTGATGATCGTGAAGATCACTGACTGGGGATAAAGCAGGGGCTTCCGTGGCAGTGGGGCCTTCAGAGCCCATCAAAGGCCAAGCATGGAAGGCCATGCAGAGTGGCAGAGTGCTAGGCACGGGAATTTGGACTGAGATAAACTGCGTAGGGCACACTGAGGCTATGGGGAGCAGCTGCTCCTGTTCTGGCTACACACCGGCATTGTGGGAATGATCACTCTTCAGTGAAATGGCCTTTCCAAAAGTGACACTCCACAAGTCAGGAAAATTAGACCTGTAACACCAGTTTCCCATCATGGGCTGAGGTCTAAAACCCATGGAAAGGCATCAACTGGGGTTGCAAGGATGGGACATGGAAGAGACTGAGGTCATGAGGGCAAAAGAAAGGGCCATTGAGGTGGGCGAGCTCCAAGTTTGCAGCCCCTGCGGGACTCAGTCAGGGAACATTTGGTCATGAGGGCATGTGCCAGGGAATGATGGGAGCAGGTTAGAATGCACGTCTGTTCTTAGCACAGCACTTCCTTACTTGACAAATGCCTGCTTCTCTTAAAAACAGTAATCAGCTCTTAAAGGCAATACAGTCTTTCATCTACAGTCTTGGTGCTTAAAATCAGAATTCACTGTTCCATTTAAAAAGCACAAAGGAAAGCAGAGCAGAGGCTGGCCCTGCGCACTGGTCCCCACCAAGGGCTGACAGATGCCTCTGCTTTTAATTTATGGTGAGATAAGGATGTTGTTCCTACAAACAGAAAATGCCAAGGCAATTATAAATAATAGCAAAATTCTAAACGGCTACAATTCAGATAATTTTGCCCCTTTGGGGTTATAAGAAAATCCCATAGTCCTTGGAATATCCTACATATTTTACAAATTGAATGTCTGGTTGTCAAGGTAAATATTTTTAAAATAAACATACCTGTTTATAACTTTAGAAACAAAGTCTTCAGCACATTTCAGGGAAGTGACATTCATTTTTAAGAAAAATTATATTAGTATTACCATTTATAAAGCATGCTATTTTACTTCATAAAATGAAATGACATTTCCTTTTCAGAAAGCCTTCTCTGCATTTATGGATGACCTTGCCAAGATTCTAATTAAAAGTTGTAATCACAGACGACTTGTATTGAGTAGAAATTTCCTGCTTGGGTACAATAGCATACAATATTTCATTTAAGCCCCAAAATTTCTTATCTCCATTCTACCAAAGAGGATAGTGGTATTATATAAACAGTCTAAACCACCACTTGATTATCACTATTAGCATTTTTATTGCCCATGAAGACCATGGGGTCTATTAAATATTTTGAATAGTAAATGCCCTCTTCCCAACAGCCTTATAAAAAGGGATGATTATCAATTCATGGGCACAGAAACAGATGCGGGAACCTTAGCGTGACAAGTGGGCTCACTTGAAAGTCATATCTTCGTGTCCACCTGGAAAACTGTTGCTGATGAACTGTAGTGACTAGGCATGAAGTCCGCATTCAGGAATAAAAAGCCAAGTTCTGGGTAGAGTTCACAAGGACAGAGAGATGGGGTTCTAGACACAGAGTGAGTTGCTAAGGCAAAGATGGAAGTAGCCATGCCTGTGGGGGTTACCAGCCTGCCCTGGCCATGAACATGACAGACAGGGAGTGCTGGGAAAGGGCAGGGAAGGAGTGGAGGTAAGGTATGTTAGAGGACCATGCAGAGTTCGAGACAGACAGACAAGGGCCCTGAGAGTCTCCCTCCCTTGGGCACTGTCCCTACGGCTCCTGTCCTCTTTACAACCTTGGTGAAGCTATGTGACTGCTTCCTGACAGCTTCCCTGTTTGTGGGCTGGTCCAGGGTCTCTTTAAAATCCTGTGTCTCTTAAGTTTGTTGCAGATGTTCAGGACTACTATGGTTTGACGAGGTGTGTTTGAGGGTCAGGACGACAAGTGGGAGGATGGTCAGTTTTCTCAACTTGATTGGATTAAGAAGCACCCAGATTTGTAAACATACCTCATCTTGTGAATGAGGGCACTTACAGAGAGAACCAACTACAGGGAAACTCAGTTCTCCCTCAGAAAAACTAAGAAAGTGCAGAAGTTATCCTGAATGGTTTCTGGTCTATTCCCAGCAGAGTCCTTGTTCCTGTCCCTCTGCCTGCCTGCCTGCCTGTCTGTCTGTCTGTTGCTGTCGCTCTTTCATCCCTTTCTCCATCTCTTTCCTGTGTTTTCTATACCAGTAAAGATATAATAAGAGAAAGCAGGTATCTGCAAGCCAGAAGAAAGTCCTCAGCAGATACACAGCACCTCCATCTTGTATTTCCCGGCCACTATGCCAACTAGAAGATAAGTGAGCGTCCAGTTGTATCAGGCTGTGAGGACAGATATGTTCTGACATTGCTATGCTGAGCAACTTGGAGCCTGTGGCAAAGGAAAAATGCCCGTCTATACATTAGAATTTTCACATTACATTTTCAGTAGCTAAGCTTTACCAGAACATTAAAGGCATTCAAAATGTTTGCTTCCATTAAAATCAGAAAAGTAAAATTATAATGAGTTCTGTTCTGTTTATTGATGAGATACTTAAATTTAAAGAACATTGCATCCTGAAACCTCCATTCTACATTTTCAGTCACTTTTCAAAACTTTAGTGTTATGCAGACAAAAACCCAGCCATTAAAAATATGCAAGACTGTGCTAGGGCTACAAGGTTGTTCTTTTGCCTTGGGCTCGAAGCTGGCTTGGGAGGTTACTACTGGGACTCCAAGAATACTTTTCTTATATTGCTTTTTTCCCCTCTTCTTTTCCTATAGGTAAATTAATACAACCATTAAAACAATTCTCTGAAAGCAATCAACTGAAGATGAGGACAGGGGACCCTTCTACTCAGAATAACCTGGAAATTACCTCATGGGTCAGACCTCCCCTTCCTATTCTTTACACAAAAAACATTAGGAGCGGAAGCAGACCTCCCCATCGTTTCCGGAGGATCACTGTGTCTAGGCCCCTGCCGTGTCTCACTTCTTCAAAGAGTGGTATGGGCAAACTGAGAATGTAGGGCTCAGCCCTTCCCCTCGTTGGCTTCATCTGCCTTCAGGAACCTGTGTTCCGGTGAATCCTGTTCCTCTGTGTATTACCAAGCAGAGGGCAGCCTGTACACAAAGCTGTTCTGAGTCCCATTCAGGATGTCTTCTGTCCTGAATGGGTGGGTGTCTTGCTTAGTGACCCTCTTCTGTCAACCCAATGTGTTACACAAGAATGTCTACACAAACACAGAGGCAAAACACTCCAGGAGAAAAATCTCAAACCCTCTGATGAAAATACATAAGTGTGCGCCTTTATAAGCAAATTCCCATGTGGTAAACATGGGTTTTGACTCCACAGAGTTTAAAACAAAAGGCAAAGATTGACCCATAATGAGTTCCTTCTAGACAAGCAACTTTCACCCTCTATTTTATTGGTATCCTATTTATCTGGTATCCAAAAATGACTAACTTTTTCTCCTCTTTGGAAGCAGGAGTCCACAAAACTCTGAGAAGTCTCTAGAACTCCCTGTTTTTATCACAGGACCACAAACACTGAACTTCAGACAGTACACACAGTAGAGTTTTTGCATCCCATCATGGCTATTTGGGTCACGGATGACCCATGGACAGAGGTGTGCTCTGTTAGGTGGCTGACATACCTACCTGGGTGTGCTCCTGGCTGGGTACGGCACTAAGACCCGTGGCTGCCATGTACGTGCTACCGATGGTCTTGATCTTTTCAACACCACTGAACTTCGGCTTGGAGAGCAGCTGCAGAGCAACAACAATCACTGTTACTCAGCCAGGCCCTGGCCTGAAGCCACAAACCCAACATTCTGGAACTGGAGTGCACACTAAAGTGAAGATGACTCGTTTCAGCCACTGTCACCGCCCTCCTGCCCTGAGCTCACGGGGAAAGAACACTTCATGCATTTCATAGAGTGTGACCTTGGAGAGGAAGACAACATAATGATGTGCTTTGGAGCCACACCAGTTGCCTGTCAAATTTAGGGAAAGAAGCACAGTAAATTACAATTCAAGTGACAATGGCCATAAATAACATCCAAATGTTTGAAAGTCATCAATACGATATCATGGTTCAGTGCGTAAGGTCCCCCCTGCAAGGTGAACAGCGATTAGTGTTCAGGATAGGTTTTACTGTCGGAGTGCTTGACATGGGGAGGAGGATCTTCCCCTCCCACCAGCCCCAAACTTAACATTTCCAGCTCAGTGTCAGTTACTATCTCTTGCACTGACCCTCCCCAAGCCCACAGCCTTGGGGGGTGATGGTGGGACGGTAACAACAAAGCTGTGCAGAAGAGCAGGGATGGGATGGGCTCTGGACGGTCTATGTATCTGTTCAAGAGGGCAGGGCTCCCATGAATAGCACCAACCAATGACAAGGGACATTTTCTTGCTACTTTCTGGAACTCTGGCGGTCCAGGATTCATGTCAAGGAACTTAAGTCATGAGCAAATCCCTGATCAAGTATCACACAGTCACTCTCACTCACCTATCATTCCTGGGGAGCTTTGCTGCAGGGGGGGCGGAGTCTAACATGCTACGTGCACTATGCACATGGTGTCAGAAGTCACTGATTGTCATGATGTCCCATGCATATCCTGAGGGAAACTCATGGTGAGAAGGGAGGTGTGTGTGTGTGGGGGGACACACAGGTCCCACCAGATATTGGGAACCAGGTGGTGCCAAAACCATGGTGCTACGAATTTCCTAATTTATCTCAGCTCTCCATGAATCAGGATGAACATATGCTCAAAGATGACAGATTCCCTCTATTTTGCATAATACTGATAAGAACAGTGTGGCTGCAGTAGTCTTGAGACCCCAGGTGTGGGTTTTTTCTTAGCAGAAAATAAGGCATATTATTCTTTGGTAGACAGAATATTAAAAGTTGAAAAATGACACTTATTTCAAAGTCTAAAATAAACGCCTTATCCCTTCTGAAAAAATGATCTATTACCCACATTTGTCAACAATAAGGTATGTCAGTCATACATACTCAGTTTGTTGTCTGCCAGAGACCTTGAAATATGCACAGCCATTCTAACCATCTATAATAAATAGATTCATTATATTTTAATATACAAATATTTGGGAAAACATTTTCCCTGAGGTTAAGCCTTTCTAGAAAATTTACTAATGCATTAGATGTAGATTTTGGAAGCTGTCGCCTGAAGTCCTATCAGTCTCAAAAATAAAATGTTATCTGTCTCCTCCAAATTATCCAGTGACCTAGATACAGTGTATGGCTTGAACTCAAACTACCAGAAATTAGGTCAAAGGGCAAGTCTGAAGATACATCACTATCCTGGACTGATTTTGAGTGTGTAAGAATCACACATTACGGGGCTGGGCCATCCATATAATTCAGGGGGAGTCTTAGTACTTACATCATCAAAGTCAGCGATGATCTCATTCAGGAGCCGAAGGCATTCCAAGCCTTCCTTGTTCACATCTGATTCTGTGTAGAATTCCTTGAAATCAGGAATAGAGGCGAACATGACGCAGACACAGTCGTAGGACTGGTGGTACAGCTCCTGCCCAGAACAGCAGAGGATGAGCACAGGTTGACCTTCACGGCCCCTCAGATACACGGGGCTTGTAGAGAAACCACTCACAAGCTCCAGTGAACTGCCACAAGTCCAGCCCTGGGCCCTTTCACACACTGACACTTAGATAGGTAAAACCTTTGAAGAGCAAATGCAAGCCCCCTCGACACCCTCCATGAGGAGGAGTCCGTGAATTAGTTCTCGGTCATCTCTACCTCAGACAATTATAAACTATCAGAGGCTGATGATATAAACTATGAGGACATTTTATCAGATTAAGATAAAATGCCCTTCAGACAATTGAAGGGGAACAAAATCATCCTCCAAACAACTGCATTATGCTAAAATAGCTTGTTTTGGCCCCATTCTTTGGATGCCAGTCTATTATGGGCATGCGGGTTTCGCGGAGCACCAGCTGCTGGGCGTGGCGCCGGTCTTCCACACGTCGCTGGAGTGCGGCAGGTCCCGCGGGCCGTGTCTGCTGTTCGGGTCCCTGGCTCTCTGCCGCTGGGGTGCGTGGGTTTCTCGCACCAAGTTTGAGACCCGTTGGCCACCAGGTCACGAGGAGAAGTGCGAGAAACAGCAAAAGCAGGGTCTCCATGAGTCGTAGTTTACGAAGAGATAGCCCTCTCCGGGAAGACTGGATCATAGGCAGTAAGACACAGAACTTAGCTCAGTCAGACTCAGTGGTACAGCTCCTTTATTCAGTGACTCAGCTCAGCTCCAGGTCTTAGTGATTCAGCTCCGATTAATTAGGGGAAACCAGGATATTTATACTGTGGGGGCAGTGGCAAAAGCCTTAATGGATAGGTGCTTTTAGGATGCCTCATTTACATGTGGTGGTGGGCTCCTGCCAGGCTGCCAGACATTGTCTGATTATCACACAGGAAAACCTGGCAGTTCCTATGCCAGAGGCCATGTTTTTGGTAGGGCATCTGTGGCGGCCACTTCAAAAGGTGAGTCAGGAAGAGAGGTAGGAGGCCCCCTGCTGAAAAGAGGAGTCTTTCCATCAGGGTCCGAGCTCCTTAGAGCTATCCGGACATGGAAGACTGCGACCCTCACAGCAGGATTCCCCAACAGTCTATGGCTCTTTACAGTCTTCCTCAAAGAACAGGCAAAACTATTCATGTGATTTAATTATATCATAAAGAATGAATGCAATTCCTCAGGTCACTCATTGACATCATGTAAGATCTTGCACTACGTACTTGGAACATCCTGTTGACTTCAAGTAAAAAGAGTCTCCTGGTCCTTCGTTAAAGACATTAGTGAAACTGCAGCATCCTGAATACGTTATTTCAAGGTGTTTCCATAATTTTCTCATTGTACAGTGATACCCTCAGAAAGGAAGGGCTATGGGTGGGCTCATCCTGGGTGTGAAGAACCTGTCCAGCCTGCAGCACAGGCTGCACACCCTGGGGTCATCGTGGTTGCAGTGCAGTGTGGGGAGTGCTCACCCTGCCAGGAAGTGTGAAGAGTTCCATTACACCAGATGGACAGCCTGTGAGTGGATGGAGCGTCAGAGCTGCTTCCTGTGTGCTAGGCAGGGAGAGGGTCACATGCTCCCCAAACACCTGGGTGATGCCCTTGGCAGGGAGTGAGCACTTACACAGCTCTACAACTCCAGTTTCGTGTTTTCTCGGAGATATTATCTTTGCCCTTCTCATAACAAACCTATCAGGTCACGGCGACCCAAACAAAGGACACAACATCTTCAAGGAGAAGGAGCCCCATGCTAAGCTCCCATCCCCAGGGCCTCCCAGTCTGTAGTGCTTTCTGCTGTTATCTCCAGGCCTGAGCACATGAACAGCAGAGTCAAGGGCTTCCTTTCTTCCTGCACTCAGTATAGTTGAGCTGGCCTGCTGTACAGATGGCTCTTTGCAGCTGTTTTGTGAGCTGAACTTTCATATCCTTGATAGACAATTTGAGACACACAGGACTACCAAGGCCAGGTTCCAGTAATACTAATTAGGGCCAGGGAGTCAGAGTCACAGGAAAGAGATAAGATCTAGGAGCTTGTTTTAGTTAAGGATATGATTTTATGCAAGTAGGGTGAATGAGGAATTCTAGAAAGAAATGGTGATTCCAAAGGTTAATTAGAATTTCAGTGATGTGGAGAGGTTGGAATGTTACAAGTCCAGAGCCAAATTGTCTTGGGCTATCCTGTAGCTGCCCCCTCTGTATGCGACCTAATATCCTTGTGACCCTTAGGTAAACCCTTTGGAATGGACAAACAGACCCCTACTTCTCACCAACCAAAAGGCTAAGAATGCCATCAAGGAGCATCTGAGGCCTATAGCTGAGACTTCCCTTCCTTTCTGCAACCTGCCTGTCTGGTTTCCACTATGTGTTTGAAGAGTCTTGGTTTATAGGTTTTAGTTCTGCACCATTGAACGCATCATAAAGCCATGTTTGGAATATGGAATTTGGGGCACCTTATTCTGTGTTCCTGGGTCATAGTCACTCAATTTGGTTCCAGAATAAACTATATCATTCCCTTTGGAGGAGAGTTGTTGCACTGACAGTAGTAAATGGGCCAGTGACTCTCCTACTCTTAAGGAGAACTGTACATTTAGCAAGACTAGGACACGCCATCTGTTCATTGTAATTCTCCATTGACACTGGTCTGTCAGTGACTCTCCGGGAATGAGGGTGATGACAACGGTGGGCAGGATAACAGCAGCTCACACTGAGTGCCCATCACACGATGGGACGGACGCTTCTATGAACACACTACCTGCATTAATACACATTTGCCTGTAATCCTGTGAAATGATGCTGTTGTTTGCTACCACAGAGAAATTTCACTACGTGTCCAAAGCTGTAATTACTCATGTTGACCATGATGTCCACCCTTATAAAGGGGAAACTTTTACTTTCTACTGAATCTCCCAGATGACCCTGGGCTGTGGCATTTGGATTTGGGCACCTACCACTTGTTGGTCCTGTCACTTTTTCTTTCTCTTTACTTTGGAGTCTTCAAGGTTTCTGGGAGTTGGACACAATGAAATGCAGGGCTGTACTGGTTCAGTCTGGGTCTGCATGTTACCTCATGCGACTCTCATACTGGATCGTGAACTTCTCCTATGCTATGAGGTTTCCAAGAAGGCAGATCCTTAGGTCTCCTCACTGACCAGTTGAGCTTCATCCCTAAGGATGGGCTCTGAGCATCTACATCATTTTTAAAAGCTCTATAGTTGTTTTGCTGTATGACCCTGATGAACAACAGAGGGAATGGAATTCAGCAGAACCCAGTGACTCAACAAGGTTCCTAGCTGTCTTGGGCATGGGACCATGAAAGCCAATGGGTACTTTGAGCTATATCTCACCCTCTCTCTTTGGCAGAGCAGTCACTTGGCACCTTTAGGGACATGTCCGGGGTGAGCTGAGACCACTGGTCCTCTGGTTCTGGGATTCAGGGCTCCCATAGCACCATATTTGAAAGCCAAGGACAGTCCAGTGCTTTCCAGATTCTCTGGCACAGATGAAATCTGCAGGGTTTAGAACCACATTCTGAACTAATGGAAAGCTCTCAGAACTCTGAATTGAATGTGGATTCAGAGAGGACCACATGCTGGCTGCTGGATGTCCTGAGTTCGGGATTGGTAGCCCTTGAGGGGACTCGGAATCAAGAGTGGGTGACTCATGTCCACATTACCACTAAAACACATCATCAACTTTGGCACTGAAAGTGAGCTCAGATAATATTTCAGTGGTCATCCACATGTCATGATTCTGGTGAACAAATTCAAGCAATGGAAAGATCATTGCTAAGCAACTACCTCTACGCCCATGTTCTGCGCTAATTTAGAAGTGTAGCTGGTGCTCCCTGATCCTGAATGAAAGCCTGGGGTAACTGTAAGGCTCTTACCACTCTGGGTAATACAGGGTCCTTTTGTCATATTATTAAGCACCTAGCCCAATGAGTGATCAAAACCCTGGGCTGAGCCTAGGGTTTTGTGGTCTACTGTGCTGACTGTGTGGTCTACTGCAAGATAAGGAAGGTGACACACTAGGTTTCCACTCATTCGGTCTACTGATACCTTTTTGACCAACCTTAACCTGCTAGCCATGATTTTCCCCAAACCACCAGGGTGGAGAGCAGGGAAAAGGAGGCAGCTGAGAGAGAGAGGCCATTTTCTACTGACCACATCATACTCCCTGGACACTAACACTGGCTCTTCTCTCATGGATGGTTTTGAAGGTTTGATGATGACTTCTTGTGACTCATCAATGGATGGTCACCTGTATCCTGAGATGGGTACTGCTCATGTCCCTCCTGGAGGGCCACCTGTATTCTGAGATGGGTACTGTTCACATTCCCCCTGGACAGCCACCTGTATCCTGAGATGGGTACTGTTCACATTCCCCATGGACAGCCACCTGTATCCTGAAATGGGTACTGTTCACATTCTCCGTGGACGGCCACCTATATTCCGAGATGGGTACTGTTCACATTCCCCATGGACAGCCACCTGTATCCTGAGGTGGGTACCGTTCACATTCCCCCTGGATGGCTACCTATATCCTGAGATGGGTACCGTTTACATTCCCCCTGGATGGCCACCTGTATCCTGAGATGGGTACTGTTTACATTCCCCTTGGACAGCCACCTGTATCCTGAGATGGGTACTGTTCACATTCCCCCTGGATGGCTACCTATATCCTGAGATGGGTACCGTTCACATTCTCCCTGGATGGCCACCTGTATCCTGAGATGGGTACCGTTCACATTCCCCCTGGACGGCCACCTGTATCCCGAGATGGGTACCGTTCACATTCCCCCCTGGACGGCCACCTATATCCTGAGATGGGTACTGTTCACATTCCCCCTGGACAGCCACCTGTATCCTGAGATGGGTACTGTTCACATTCCCCCTGGATGGCTACCTATATCCCGAGATGGGTACTGTTCACATTCCCCCTGGATGGCTACCTATATCCCGAGATGGGTACTGTTCACATTCCCCCAGGATGGCTACCTATAT